CTCTTTGACCCTATCCAGTTTGGCCCGGGCCTCTTCTGCTCGACGATTCTCTTCGTTTATTGCCTTTTGAAGGTCCAGCCGAAGTGTGTCATTGTTGCGCCTTTGCACATCTAGTTCGGCGGCAAGCTGGCGGTTCCTAGCTAGAGCTTCCTCGGCAGTTGTCATGGCTTCGGTTGTTGCCTTATCGGCCTCTTCGAGTCTTTGCCGCAGTTGCATTAACTCACCGAGAGGCCCCATGGCAAGTTTCTGAATCAACGCCAGCGAACGAGACTGCAACTCGCAATAGTACTTCCATTTGGACACCGCATCGGCCTTGCTCAAAAACTCTCGTCCCTGCTCCGAAATAGCTTCCGGACGAACCAGTGAGTCGGACGACACACCCTCACTCCAAAAATTCTGAGACATTAGCCTAGGGGGTACACAAATCACCGTTCCCCCTGATGAAGTCACAGTATGTTTTGACTTCTTTGTCTTTTCGGGCCTCTCCTCAACATTCTTCCTTTTGTGGCTCCCCTCGGCCGCCCCCTTTCCTTTCTTCCCCTTCTTATGCTTGCGAGTCGGCGAAGGAGGACTCCGATTATCCTGTTCAGGCCGAGGAGATGGAGCAACGGATGAACTACCCATAACCCCGGAAGCCTTCACCTGTTGCACCCGACTGGCAAGGAGGTCACGGATGTTGAACTCATTCGCACCACTCTTCACCATGATTCCTGCATGAATAACCAAGTGAACATCAATATGAATTTAGCTTAAGGCCGAAACTAGAAAGTCATTCACCTATCAAATCATAATCCATCGGGATGAATCGACCAAGTTAATCACCGACCTCATCGGCAAACGTCGAGGAAGTTGAAGCAAAAATTGGACGTTTTGTTGCTCTTCGGCTGTGGGAAGCTCGTCCGGCACGCCATCGTATGGCCGAGGGGCACGTGTCCAGTACAACGGAAACAAACTCCTGTCGTCAACACCAAAGAAGAAACGTTGTCCGTTCGGTCGAATGGTCACTCGGAAGAACCCAGCCTTGAAGTTCTTATAGGACGAAGTAAAGTTATCCAAAAGTTGTCGAGTCCCCACGCGGTTAAGAGATACCCACTTCGCCAAGTCCGACGGTCGAGACGAATAAAAGTAAAGAAAAAGCAAGGGAGAGGGCCTAATATTTACACATCGGCATAAATGTTTGAACCCCTGAAGCTGGGCCCAGCTATTCGGATGAAGTTGGGCCCAACTATTCGGATGAAGCTGGGCCCAGCTATTCGGATGAAGTTGGGTTGGCGCCACATTCAAAACCCGAAGAACTCCCATCGTAAACTCATCAAATGGCAGTGTCACTTTCAAGTCTCTCAAAAGGCAGTCATACATATAGAAAGACGCCATCCTCTCGGCTTGCTTGTCTAAGCAGACCATGTCGGGATCGTGGAAAACGTTGTTTCGGCACGCTCGAACCCCGATTGGGTACTGCTCCTCTTTCGCGTCAAAACGTAAACATTTCGTGTACTCCAGTAGGTTGGTAATCATTGTGGTATCTCGGTAACGCGAGTAATATGAAGTCACCTCTCCGTTCACCCATTCATACTCCGGCACTTCGGAAGGCCCATATCTTTGCCGATTTGAGACACGCCTAGTCCTAATCGGCACCCCCTCACTTCCGCTGGTCGAGGCCTCTTCGGATGCGCTTATGCTCTTGGTAGATCGTCCATCTTCATTCGGCGAATGCCCCGAATCACTGGATGATGACCCCTCGGATGTTGACGACCGAACCTCACTAGCCGAAGAGCTTTCACATGAAGTAGCCATAGAAGCAGACTTACCAACAATACGAATTCACAATGGTCACTCGGCGCGCGCAATTCAATCTTCAAACTTGCTCGGGCAACCCGATTCGGCTGAGAGCGATATGCGTGAAAGACCCCACCACTCATCGCTATATATAGCAGAGGAAAAAAGGCGGGAAAAATTCAAAAATTCAAAAAGTGTAACTGCCTAATCTTCAAGATCCAACGCTAGAGATCGTCCCAACCTTTCGACCACCCCATCACTTAACCTCACATCTATACCTTTGCAAAAGGTCTCCCTTCCACAAGGCTAGGGGGCAAGTGTACTAGCAAGGTTATTCGGCCACCTGGCTCGGCCACTCGGCCACCTGATAGCCGACACCCAATCGACACCCGAATGGCCGAACCAGGTGGCCGAATAGCTACCAGATGATCCATAGATCCAGATTCCCACTAATAAAGAGTTAAGGACTCCCCCTAATCAAGGATTAAGAGTTAATCACACCAATAAGCCGATTAGAGGCGTATTACCTAATCTGGTAATCCTGTCGCAGGGCCCATGGGAATCCGGGCCCATAAATGTCAGTATAAATAGCTCATGTCACGAGGTAACGTCACTGTTCATTAATTACCCTAAATATTCGTGCTTGTCCTGACTTGAGCGTTGGAGTGCCTTTTGCAGGTACCAACCCCTTCACCGAAATATTCGATCAGAGTACTCGTTCGGCCCTCAGACTACGAGAAGACTACTGGTGTATCCTTTCGACAGGTACAGTTTTAAATATTTTTTTTATTCTTTTTAAATTTAGGCATCTAGTTTGCATTATGTGTCAACTAGGAGGCTACATACATGACTCTTCTCAACTAGGAGGCTACATGACTCTTCTATATAGGTACCAAAGTTTATATTTTATCTTCTTGAATTATGTTTCTCTTTTTACATGTCTTAGTTCAATTATTCATGTTGGTGGGCACATGTTCTGTTAGAGGTGTAGGAGACGTGATCTTTCTTCTTCACACAACGTTATATCTGTTACAAACAATTTCTCCAGGATGCCAAATGCAAACCACAAAAAATAAAAGCCTTTTTAAGGACATCTCTTTGTTCTCAGGCTACATTATGTGTGTCTCTTCATTGCATGCTCATCTATTGAAGAAGGTGTAATGACAATTTAGACATGGTCACTCTCGTGTGGTTATTGCTCATGTGCCATCTTCTAAAAATCTTGAACATAAGTGACTTAACTATGAGGATCTTATCATTGGTGATGCCATGAAAGGATTGCTAGCAACAAATCTATCACAATGCATGGATGACTACTCATGCATTGGTTTCACAACATTTTCCATCCTTACCCATACCTCTAGATAAAGGAGATCCTCGTGTGCAACTTCTTTTGGCACAACAAAGTCTAATTTGAGTGACTTTTATCATTGTTTGGTAAGTGTATATGCATTTAGTCTTACATTATTTTATGGCAATTACATTATTTTGTTTCTTAAATATGTTGTATATTGATTGATTGTAGGCATGGTTTAATTAATAAGACTTCTAAACTATTTCAATTCATTCTTAATCTCAACATAATTATGGACTAGACTAATGTTTGAAATACCATATAAGCGGTATAAAACTTCTCATAATTAGTATTTGAACTATTTATATGTTTTGTATTTATTTTTTTTATAAAGATAGGAAATATTACAAAGATGATCGTAATGAGGATTGAACCTAGGTCCCCATATTTTTAACTACCCCAACCTTTCCCCACCCAACAACTAGTAGGGGTGTCTATGGATCGATTTTTTCAAAAAAATCAATCCAAACCGAACCGAACCGTTTTATAAAAGTGGATTGGTTAACCGATCCATTTTTTATAAAGTGGATCGGTTTGGTTTTTTAAAAATATGGATCGGTTTTTTTGAAATTGGATCGGTTTGGTGCGGTGCAGTTATCCACTTTTTTACTCATATATGGATCGGTTTTTTGAGAAAACCAAACCGAACCGAACCGATCCACTTTGTAAAAATGGATCGGATAACTGAACCGATTTTATAAAGTGGTTCAATTTGGATTTTTTTTCAAAATGGATCAAATTTTTCAATATGGATCGGATCAATTATGGATCGGTTCGGATCGATTTAGATTTTTTGCACACCCCTAACCACTAGGCTAACCCTAGTGATTGCTTATATGTTTTATATTTGATATTATGTAGGTATTTAACTTTTATTTTTAATAAGATAATATTTGATTTTCCTATCTTATTTATCAAGCAATTTTAATTATATAACTATATATCTAAAATTATGAATTTTAAATTAAGCTTAAATTAGTTTATGGTTATTACAATATATCTATTTTTTATATTTTAGTTCTTACAATATTTTTATTAGTTTTGGTACTATAAAATTTAATTTTATGATTTTAGTCTTGATATTATTTTTTTAAATTGTTAACCTTTAATTTATGTTTCTCTTATATCCAAAAATATTGATGTTAGTTCTCATTTATTAAAATATTAAATTTATATAATATTACTTCTAGTTGTAAATAACAATCTTTAGTTTTTAAAGTTATTAATCATAGATAGATTTTATGCATTCACCATGACTAATATGAAATATAACAATCACTTAAATTAAAGAATGTATTTAAAATAAAATTTAAATTTATAATAAAATTAATTAAAATAATTATATTAATTATTTTTTTTATTCTTAATAACTTATCTCATATTACTTATAATTAGGACAGAAATAAGTATATAATCGTCATGCCATTAATGAATAATCATATATACTAAAATTGTAAAAAAAAAAATTATAGAAACAAAACATGATAAATTTTTTTTATAGAGGTCAAAATTATAAAATAAATATATTATAACAACTAGAAATATTTCAAGTCTTTAAATTAATCAAATTTTGTAATTAATTTTTGGAATTATTAAAATTTTATAACATTTGACAAACTAAAATTTGAAATGCAATAAAATTGGAAAAATAAAATCCATACATGAATAGTGTAAATTAGAGATTAACTCCAGACTTTCTGAGATTAATTGTTCAAATTTTGTGGCACGTTCCAGTATATATAACAAAAAAAAAATACTAATTTTTTTTTCACTACAGAAAAACGAAAATCTTGGTTTTTTTTAATTATTTTTTTTTTGAAAAAAAAAAACACAATAAATCGTATATATTTTTATTTGTTTCAGAACACCTGAATTTGGCTTTTTCAGGTGGGAACAGAAGAAGCTCTCTTATCTTGTTTGTAAGAAGAAAGAAAGACTCGCAGTTGAGTGCAACAATGGTAGCGGGAACTGCAACCTTCAAGCTTAACCTCTCCTCTTTTCGTTCTTCGATGTCCACTTTCACCGCTTCCTCTTCCTCCTCTTTCTCCTTCCCCTCTCTTCTCCCAATGCGAACCCTTTCTTCTAAACCCCCATTTCTCAGTGAGTCACTTCGTTTCGCTTTCTCTTGCAACCCTTTCCCTCTTCTCCTCGCTAACGTGCGCCTCTCTCTTTTCTTTTCTTTTTTTTTCAGGGATTTGCGCCTTGTCCAGCAACGACATCAAGGTGGGTTCCAGCCTCGAAGTCGATGGCGCTCCTTGGCGCGTCTTAGGTATTTCTTTTACCGCGCGTGTGAATTGTGGTTTTCGTTTTGGGATGTGACGCTTCTTATTGAATTGGCTTGCGTTGCACGTTTCAGAGTTTCTTCACGTTAAGCCTGGAAAGGGCGCGGCGTTTGTGAGGACCAAACTGAAGAATTATATCACGGGCAACACGGTGGAGAAGACATTTAGAGCTGGAAGCTCGGTAATGCACACTCATGTTGCAAGGCCTATGTTTAATCATTGCATTTAATTTGATTTTGAGATTCAGTAGAAGAGTAATTGGGTATAGTTTCTTTTGGGGCTAGGGGTTGAGGGAGATAAGCTTATTGTTGGGGAGCTTGAGTTACGGTCTAATTGGCTAAACTTTCCCAAAAGCACTTCTAGGATAGAAAATTAAATTAGCTTATGAAAAACTTATTTTAATCTTTCTTTTTTATTTCTCTATCTTAAAATGCTTTTAGAAAAACTTATCTTCAGACATTTAGGCCCAAACTCACATTCTTGTAAAACTGCCTTAATTGTGGTCTCTAGCTGCCTTAACTGCGGCTTACAGTATAGTTGTCACCCCTAGTCAGCCTGAATTGCAGCCTATAGAGTTGGTTGTCAGTGTCTAAGAAAAGGTTGAGTGAGTGTGTGTTTGGATACTCACCCCGAATGTACCTATTGCAAAAGCTAGTTATATTAGCTTTGATATGACGTGCATCATTCTCTTTTGATGGGCAATCAAACACACTAGTAGGGTGTAGCCACTGGGACATCGACTATTAGGGGACTGAGATAAGGACTGAGATTTCATGTTGACTAACTAAAGACATGACTGACAAGGACGGAGCCAAGGGGGGACCTACGGGTGCCACGGCCCCCTCAACAATTTTAATTTTTTTTTATATACATATATATTACTATATGGCACCCCCTATTTTTAATATAAACTCATATTTTTAATATAAACTCATATATATATTACTATATGGCACCCCCTATATGGCACCCCCAGTATTGAAATCCTGGCTCCGTCCCTGTGACTGATGTAATGTTTTATAAAATTTAAGTAGTATTCACCTTACAAAATTAGTTTTGTGAGGTCAAGTGTGAAGTCCATATTGTAAGACTTATGCTTGTTTTTGTTACCTTTCTGAGGCTAACTGATAGGTAGTTTCTAAAAATTTGGATTTCTGGGTTTATCTTTGGCCATTTCATCTATTTCTTTTCCTTTTGACAGATTGATGAAGCAGATGTATTCAAGGAAACAAAGCAGTTCACATATAAAGATGGTTCTCAATTTGTCTTCATGGACTTGGTATTATCTGGAATCCATATTTATATAATATAACAAATTATAGATATGCACATTTTTTCTGCTCTGACTATGGTCAAGATTTATAGGAAAATCCCAATTAGGCTTAGACTCTCTTTTCCGATAGCTCTTTTGCTTTTATTGCTAGCAATTAGTTAACTTATGAATAATGTAATGAATTTTGTCATAGTCTCTATCTTTAATTTGCTGTATTTTATTTTTATCAGAGTACATATGAGGAGTTTCGTCTTGGTGAATCAGAAATTGGAGACAGAACAAAGTGGCTAAAAGAGGGAATGGACTGCAATTTGCTGTTATGGAATGGAAAAGTAACCTTTTCATCTCATGATATATTGTCTTTCACTCACTCAAACCTTTATTTTTCTAGACCAATAATGATAAAAGTTATAGGACAAGAAGCTGCCTGGTTCTTGAAAACTTGAATAATATAATCTTAATATTCATAATTAAGAGGTAAATATTTAATTTCTGTTTAATTTTGCTGTCCTAAGGGAGGAAAGTGTTGATGCATAGTTGCTAAGGGATAAAACTAATCTAAAATGTATTGCAGATTCCATACTTTTTTTTATTCAGATATATTTAAATTTATGTAGTGGTATCAGCTTTAATGGTAAGAAGGACTACTCAATTGTTACTTCACACATTCATCAGTCCAAGGTGTGTTCTTGTAATAGTTGGTGGTTTCTAATTCTCATGTGCATCCTTCATTTAATTTAAAGTACATTGTGATCTTAACCCACTGTAATTTAAGAGTAGATACATCATACACCCTTGTTTTTTCACTTCAGAGATAAACTCCCACTAGAGGGGCATTTTCTGATTGACAGTATGGCATTTATAAATCAATAGGATACGTGCAGTTACTTCTATTGATCTTGTTTAACAATTTTTCTCTTGATATTTTTTCAGGTTATTGATGTTGAACTCCCTATCACAGTTAAGCTTACTGTTGTTGATGTGGATCCAGGCGTCAAGGGTGACACAGCCCAAGGTGATGCCATTTTGTTTAAACTGCAAACTTATATTTTGATCAAATTCATATTGCAAACATTGTAAATGCTAACCATCTTGGTAGCCAAGAAAACTCTGTTACAATAAAAATGATAATATCATCTCCCATAAGCTAGACGAAGATTCTCGTCATGGTCTTTCTCAATCTGTCCAGGGATGAATTCATTACTAAGATTTCTCTTAATGTATTTTTCACAATTTGGCATCAGAAGGAAACCAATTAAAAAAAAAGAGCTTAATTGAGTTGTATTGTTAGTCATATTAAAGCTATGACGTACTGAATTTTCAAAAAACAGGATAGGCTTGTTTACCGCGTCTGTTATCACTTGTCAAAGGGAACAAATTTATGTGCTTCCATTATGGCTTTTACTGCTTGGTTTCCTCCTTACTTTCTTACATTCCCTTGTAGAACTTACTAAATATCTGATAACAAAATTCGATTGACAGGTGGAACAAAGCCAGCCACTCTTGACACTGGCGCTGTTGTCAATGTCCCACTCTTTGTAAATGTCGGTGATCAAATATTAGTTGATTCAAGAACTGGGCAGTACATGAGCCGTGCTTAAGATTTCGCATCAAATTTTGTAGTTGAAATCCCGAGGATTCTCATTTATTTTGTTCTTTTATTTTTTAGGAAATAATTTACCATTGGAGATGTATTATGTTCGTTAATCTTAGCAATTTGGCTGCGTTTTATAACATTGAATTAAAAGTGTGTTGTAATTTAGTTGCGAAACTGAAGATCTCGCAGTTCTTCCGCATGATTGCGATGCATAAAATACTTATCGAGAAGCCAGCCATTATTATTACCTTCTGTTCCATTTTTCCATGCGATGTAGAGAAGAGAATCAAATAAATATGTATAGTGTTTTTATTTTTTATTTTTTACTTTTTATTATTGAAAGTAGTTAAGAATTTATTGGTATGGTATATAGTTTCTTTTATTGGTTTAAAATGATATAAGCTAAAGAAGAATGAATAATCAGCTGAGGTGTATTTGTATTTAGCTTTTGTCTTATAATCAAACGGAAACACCGTGGGTCGAGCTCCCCATAGTTTTGTCATACCATCAAAGAAGATGAACCAGCCACTCCAAACTCGCGTAAATCTATGCACAACACTAATACTACTGCATCTTCACTTCATCTTCCACTGAGAGCAGAAATTGCACTTCTCTTACCACATTCCGGATAAAAAAACCACATCATTGAATTTTCTTCATTTTATGGTGAAGATCAGTCACATAATTGCATCTTAACAGGGTATTGAACTAAGCTTCCTAGCTTTGCGCCCCCCATACTCATATCATGACATACTTCCTTTCTTCCCATTGCCACACCTTTCTACCCTCCACATGAAATTTCCCATCCACCACTTGGCAGTCAATTGAAACTAAATTTCCAAGTCAGCATCCAACTAACTCCCTAACTCCCTTAGGTGAGCTTGCAGTTCCTCTCTCTTCATAACATTTAGCTTAGGTTCCCGGTTGGGAACAACACCTAGCTTCAGTGCAGCACCAAACAAATTAGAAGCACAAAACAATCTACCCTCCTCCTCAAGTTCCTTGATCACCATATCATAAGAAACTCTCTTGGAAATCCCTCCACTTGCATGCAAAAGGACCAAAGCTGACACTGCATCATCCACTCTTCCTCCAGCACAAAGTCCCTGAATCACTTTATCAAAGGTAACCGCCTCAGGAAAATACCCCAATCTAACCATCTCATTCAAATTTGCCAAAGCCTGATCAAACCTCTTCCCCCAACACAATGCCTGCACCATCACCTTAAGTGTCCCCTGATCAACCACTGAACCCCTCTCTTTCATTTTCTCAAACACCTCACCTGCATCTTCAAGAAGACCCTTTTCCCTCCAAGACCTCTTACACAACCTCCTCACCAAAGTCCCCATCATCCTCACATCCACCTCCAATCCAAGCCCCACCATTTCCCTATACACCCCAAGGGCTGCCACAACTTCATTCCATTTCAACAACCCATGCAACAATGTGTTGTAACTAACACAATCAGGAACACACCCATGCTCCTCCATCAGCCTCAAAACATCAAAACCCTCCATAGGCCTCCCCTCCCTAGAGTACCCTTGAAACAAGGTGTTGAAAGTGACCACATTGGGCACCACCCCCGCTCCAACAGCCTCATGGAGCAACTCCATTGCCTCATCTGACCTACCCACTTTGCACAACCCATCCATCACAGCAGTGTAAGAATAAACATCAGGCTCCAATGAGGTTCCCTTCATACCCATCAACATCTCAAGCGCTTCATCCACCTTCCCCACATAGGACAAACCCTTAAGCAAGCAGTTCTGTGCCTGAACACTCCCCTTGTAATTATAACCCTCTCTTGTCATCACCTCAAAAACTTCCCTTGCCTTATTCACCCTCCCCCTTTTGCAAAGGGAGTTTATGAGAACAGTGAGTGTTGCAGCATCTGGTTGAAAACCTTTTTCCAGAGCAGCGTCAAATTCCCTCTTGGCTTCATCCGTGTCGTTTCTCTCACAGTGGCACCTTATCATGATGGAGTGAGTGCAACAATCTGGCATGAGTTGAAAAGATGGTAGCTTTGTGAAGATTTCGAGACAAATGTCAGGCTCTTGTGCAATGACTAGGGCCATGAGAAGGTGGTTGAAATCGGATATGGTTTGAAATTCGGGGTCTTTCTCTAGGGTTTGTAGGATCTGGGGTTTGGAGTTGGAGGAGGATAAGGTGGTGATCCTGTGGACAAGGCGTTTTATTCGTAACCGGGTAGTTGTGTCCTCGAAATTGAGGTCATTTGTTGTTGTGTGCTTGATGGGTGAAGGCTTGGGGGCAGAGAAAGAGAGTGTGGACTTAACTGGTCGAAAAATAATGGTGTCGTTTTTGATTTTGGTGGCAATGTTTAGTGTAGGAGGTTGAAAAACATGGTAGCATGTGGGAATTGAAGAAGGCATAACCATGGAGTTTGAAGGAGCGAGTGTTGCTGTGTGTCCGAAGATGGATTTTGCATCCGCGAGACAAAGACACGATTTATTTGAGAATAACTCTTTTGTTTTTTTTCTTCAAGGAGTAAAAGAAAAAAAGAAGAAGAATATATATATATATATATAT